CTGTGAAAGTTAGAGGTCATTTCGTGATTTTTATCTATCGAGGAAACTTTATTGTTTTATTTATGTTTCTGATTAAGGTCTATGCTTGAATATATCGTGTAGTTACTCATACAATATTTTATTTTTAACTTTAAAGTGGATATACTCCTCTGAAATCAAATCGAAGATTACGAATTTTTCCTCTGCTCCCTCTTAATAGGTTAGACATGGTAAAAGGGGCTTACCCGAAAAGGGCCCGTATTTTCTTCAAATATTATGCTTTTCAAGCAGTTAGGTTACATGATATTCAATGGTCAGAACTGTATATGAAGTCGAACACGTGTGCTTTGGAAATTGAGAACCGAGTGGCGACGATCAGAAGAAGAATGAGAGTAACGAAGAAAAGGAACTAGAGAACGTTTCGAAATTTCAAAGTAAGTGTCCAGGAACCAGAGAAAAGAGTGAAAAAGGTGAAATGACGATGAAAGAGGTCGTATCGTCACAAGGGTACCAATCATCAATCATTTGGACATCAAAAACTATTCAATTGTCGCATGAGGGCTTTTTGATTGGCTGTTAATTTTCAAAATGTGTAATGTATAACCCATAACCGAAATGACAATATAACTAAACAGAGTATCGCAGAATACGCAATAGTCGGCTGCTCGACTGAATATAAAGTAGGTGATCGTCATAGTAATGGCCTTGGGCGAAGATCCTTGAAGGTAGTTCTGTGTATTGTAGGTTCAAGTGTAAACGAACATTTATAACAACAAGATGTTTGTTATAATTATTAATAGAAAGATCGATGACTCAGAAAAAATTCCTTCGATCCGGCCGGATTCGAACCGACGTCTTCTAGTTTACCGTGCCAGAGGCTATACCAACTAAGCTACCGAACGAACCAGCGGACCTCACGAATTTTTCTACGTGCTTGCCTCGTGTCTTTGTATTTGGTTTTTTCAACGACTTTTTAGTCGTAGCGCCATCGATGAGAAATCTATGAAAGATTTATCAGCCAGTTAGTACCTTTACAGTTACCAGTCCTGGCGAGAGATGTCGCTATTCGCTGTATTTTAAATTTTTATTGAATTGATATTCAATTATTTTTTGTGAAATTACTCCACTAGTTTGTTATAATTATTAATACAAATCGATCGAAGGAATTTTTCTGAGTGTTCGATCTTTGTATTAATAATTATAACGAACTAGTGGAGTAATCTCACAAAAAATAATTGAATATTAATTCAATGAAAATTTAAAAAACAAGAAGTTTTTTCTAATTCAATCCGATAGCTTCGGTCACTGTTTGGGATTAAGTAGAAAAGTATAACCTTTCCGATTACTTAATATGCGTGATGGAGGAGCGGAATTCATTTTCTTTTTTATAATATCAAGTGACTGCACGAACAAGTTGAGTGCCTGGTCGGAAGCTGTATGCCTGTGCATAACAGTTGTAGTGCCACTCAGCTTGAAATCGCAAAGGTCTGAGGGGCAATGCCACTACGCCCGTCACCCTGAGACATAAGTTGACAAGTATCATGTGCCTGTAATTTTACCAGCACCCTTACCCTTCAAAACCAGTAAGTTTGCAGTATTTGCCTGGACGATCTCTTTCACAAGGAGCTCTAATGTAATTTCAAAAAAGTGTGAAGCCATTTTCTTAGAATTTTTATTTCGTAAACTATAAACGGACAAAAATTCCAAGATAGATCGGTAGAGAATTTCGAGCTTTATTCTATGTCATTTAAAACGGAAATTTGACCACAAGTAACTTGATTGCGTTTCAGTTTGAAGACGTTGGGTAAATAATTGATTTATTTATAAATCATTCTTCAATAATCTAATCTAACTAGAGTCACGCACGTACGTTCACTCGCTATTAAATTACTCAACGCAAAAACGCTTGGTCGCTTCAACGTCAGCTGACTGCGGAATCTCAATTAGTTGACGTTCGCAGCTAACAAAGAAGCCCCACCCGAAACGATATTTATACAAGTTAAAATATAGATAACAACATAGTATCGCTATCGGTCTTTATATTAAAAGAGAAACACTTTTATTTTTGAATCTCATTCAAAATGCTTGTTGGTTCCTTTACTGGGTGGTTCTTGGTTTGCCGCGTGTTTGTTAACAGTTTGTTATTGAATATACAACGGAAATAATGCTCTAAATAACTTTCTTTTGGACAATTAACATTTTGTTATAAGGGCATTCGCATATATACTCAATTTTAGTAGCAGTAGAGTTCATTATGAAAGAGTTCGTCAACGGAAGTCCACTGTACTTATTTCAGCCGTCGAGCAGTGGTGTGAGCGTTACTGCGTTCCGGTTTTGACGGGTAAGGGTGCTGGTGACATTACACGCACATGAGACTTGTCAACTTTCTGTCTCAACGTGACGGTCGCATAGGCCCTTCAGATCTTTGTGATTTAAAGTTCTTAGTTGGGATGCACGATTTTTTGCTTTGAATCGATTTCTTTGATCGTATGCCTCTGAATCGATCCACGGGTCGGATCGTATGCGCTTGAATCGATCTCACAAAAATAGTTTTAAAATTTTTAATAATTATTCCTTCACATGTCCTTTAGATGTAACAAAACTTTTTAATAATAATGTCTTATAATTTAATATTCATTGCATTGTCTTCCTCATTATTTTCCGTTTCCGTACTGACGAAATCATTAATAAGATGAGACTTTCGATTAAATTATGAATATGATCTAGACTATTCGATTCGCCTTAATGTTAAATCGATTCGTTTAAAAATTGCATTCAAATTAATCGAATTTCATGAAAATTTAATCGTTATGTGCATACCTTAGTTCTTAGAGATACTGCAACTGTTATGGATAGAGGTGTCACTTACTATTTATTCGTCTCGTCATTAAGTATCATAAAAAAATCTGGTTATAGATGTAAATACGCCGTAGTCAATCTTTCCCCACGTTTCCATCCAAATTCGCACTACAAATTTGGTTTAGATATAAAAAGACAGAATTAAACATTTGTTTAGAAAATGTAGCAACAGAATGCATCATATTAATTTCAAATATTATACAGTTACCATAGTCCTAAAAATTGGTTAGATCTGGCAAAATTAAAACACATGATTAGAGAAAATTTACACAGAGAATCATAATTATTTAATACTTGCTTGATTGATGGTTTCTATCAAGTTTCAGGATGTACAAAAGGAGCCTCTTGCTACTACTGCTAGCAATTGTCTTCCCAGTATAACTGACATACCCCGGTTAACAATCTTTTCACCGCGATGATAAACATGCCCCACAGACAGTTTAGATTGCCGTTAAAAATGTAATGCATGCCATTGATACGATAGAATGAATGATGATCACTTATTACAAGTTTCTTACCATAACGTGATTTCTTTATATTTTCGGTTATACCCTCCATGGTCACGAGTTGACTAGCCAGAGGTAGATAACAAACTTATCTGTCCACCCTATTTTGCTGTCGACGACTACTTTTGGTTCTTACTGCTTACAATAATAAAAAATAGTTTAACTTCAGTTTCGCGTGTGTATACAGTGAGGGTGGTTTTTCGGATAAAAGTGAGTGGCAATTGTAACGCCACAAGTAATCGAGATGAGGGTAGTCGTTGACAGCAAAAGAGGGTAGACAGATATGTCTATTAAGTTCTTAGGTTTTCGCGATTGTTACACATAGGAAATGAAACTATTTTTCCGGATTTAAATCGCGTATATTTGTTTTTTCAAACAAACCGACGTTTCGGGCCCTTTACAGGTCCCATGGTCACGGTTGACTGAGGTGGTACAGTCTTCAACCAGTTATGTCTAATATTAATGCAAACCACCCTATTTTTTTACTATAGTTACAATAGTTATTAATTAAATACCTTATTTTTAATTTTACAAAGAAAACATTCCAATTTACGCTACATTAAGTTTTATAAATTATTTTATTGAATGAATTTTTATTAAATTTAATTTTTTATTAATGTTTTGGATTTTTCATTAGACGAAATACTGGTGGTACGGAGATACCATCTTCCCTGTTGAAATTAGGATGTTTTTTTTAATTTCAATGGCCTCAATTGTTGAAGACTTTACCACTTCAGTCAACCGTGACCATGGGACCTGTAAAGGGCCCGAAACGTCGGTTTGTTTGAAAAAACAAATATACGCGATTTAAATCCGGAAAAATAGTTTCATTTCCTAGATATGTCTATTATTAAAAGTTGACACCACCTCAGCACGAATTAAAATTTTAAATATGGTTCATTGTGCTTGGGTCAAGCAGCAGGGACACTGACAGACTATATTTCAGAATTTCTTTTCTTACAAACGAAATTAAAACCATTTCAAAAATGTATATCATATACTATACGTGTTTATATTTAGTTCAGTTGATGTATAATAAAAACATTGGTATATGTGAAGTACCTATTGAATACAGCGGTTTTCTTGTAAAATTTCGAGGTACGTTTGTGTTTTTTCTTTGTTTTTTTTTTGTGTTTTTGCGCCGTATACTAAATTAGTGTGTATCCTCAATTTTACTGCATATTTTTTCCAAAATGATTGATTCAACACTGTCATTGTTATGCGGAATAAACTAAAGCCATTTGCGACTATATAGACTCTTAAAGCTGTCATCTGCCACTGGCCAGTCAACCCATGACCACGAAGTTCCGTTCCAAAATATCAGGAAAATAAAAAGAAGATATATCGCGGTAAGAAACCTGTGACAAGTCGCGATAATCATTTAGTGAATAACCACGAGTTCCTTAAACTGAATAATGTAGATACTGTATCAATCTCTCACAATAATTACGTCTGTACTTTTTATCTTTAATATTGAACCATTCACGTATCTTCTGATTGCAAGAATTGCAATAAACTTAACATTGCTATGCTTATTATTACTAATTATCCGAAAAAAATCCAAAAAAAAAACAAAATCTGACTGTAGGAAAATATTAAAATTGATATCTTTACGAATTATTTAAAAATATAATGTGAAAAAGAAATGTCAGGTACTCACTTTCACCGCTCTGGTTGCTGCTGTGCGCGTGGTACTGCTCATCTGAAAAATCGTACTCTACGTCAGGTCAGACACATCTGCTCTCGGTACTAATTTTGAGAGTTATAAATGTCAATTATATTAGTCGAAATACTAGCCTACCTATGATTCAACCGTGAGTTAAAAAAACGCAGTGTGACAAAGTGTAAATAATAAATATCACAGTATCTCTTTAAAGTGTATTTAAATGAAGTTGTTGTTGTCAGATTGTCGCGGAAAGAGCTAGAACGACAGTCGTCTGACGATAAATAAAACGTCACGATAAAAATGTGACAACAGATAATCACAGCTTCAAACGATTCTGTGGTGCAAACGACAAGGCGGCTGCCGTGAAATTGTCATCATGGTCAGCTAGACACGACAGTCGTTCAACAAGTCACGACAGATTGTCGTGATATGGGAACTGGCTAGATACGACAGTCGTCCAATGATAAATAAAACGTTAAATGCGAACGCGCCCTTAGACATAGTTTTCTGTCACCATTATTCATACTTATTTTATTTTTGCAAACGAAACAAGCCTATTTTTTACTGCCACAATCAAAATTGCATTACCATTTTTTTACCACCATCATTTGCACCACCAGATTGTAATCTTTAAGATGATAGTATTTTTAAATTAACTCTTTACTTAGCACTTGATTACGCCATTACTTACCTCCATTACGATGATCGCTGCCCATCAGCTCCTGACCTTGCAGCGTTGGAGCGTGGATGAGGACCTTCTGCTGAGGACTATGAGGATCCAGACCCTCAACTTCCAATAAAGGTGCATGAGGCTCATATCCATGAACAACTAATTGCGGCGGCGCATGGAGATCCATTTTTAAAAAAGCCGACCGTTAAGATCGTTAACACATTACACAATTTAAACTTCGAAGTCCAATTATTTTTTATTTAAATATTCTCACTTGGCAGTATTATAACGTGGCACTGTTTTTATATCGTTGCGTTTTAGAGTTCGTTGAACTATTCTCTAACACTTCTGTTCGTCTATAACTCTATGGTTTCCTTTTTGTAAAGAGTTATTTTTTTGCACTATGATTGGCACTTGACTTTTATTAGCTATTAGGAGAATTGGAAGAGTATTTTTGGATAGTTTAACTAGAGCTTTAGGGTAGGTATCGGATAGTCTAGATTTTCACTTTGTCTGTCACATCGTTACGACACAATGCTTGTTTATTTATCACCGTGATTTCTTTCGAATTTTGAGTCGTAAGTTCACCATTTTTATTACCTGAAATAAATAGAAACACAAATTAATAATATAATCTCAATACAGAGTAATAAAAAACCAACATCAAAAGTCATTTATCCCCCCTAGTTTCCCACCCTTAGAGGTGGTATATTTTCTTCAAATTTAAATGGTACCACTACTGAGGTAGCTTCTTTCCAACAAAAAAAATCATTGAAATCGGTTCACAATGCCGGAGTTATCATGTAACGTACATACAAAAAAATACAGTCAAATTGAGAACCTCCTCCTTTTTAAGTCGGTTAATAAATTGATGAAAATAAACATAACAAGGCATTTTCTTTCTTAATTATTAAATCCTTTAGGTTTAGTTTTGTTATAGACTCCGAATCGATAAAATTCTAAAAATATAGGGATTTCAAGAGAAACCTTGCTCGAAACTAATGGTTGGTAAGAGAATGCAGTGAAAATATTTGAATATGGAACAAAAGGAGCGCCGGCGCCGCCTGCACAAAGATACATTTAGCTGAACACGCAGTATAAACATTGCATATAGTTGACATAATGTTTGCCTTGCTAGCAGGAGATAGCCGATTCCGTGTTCAACGTAATGACTACTTTGGGATTTTTAAAGAGATTAATAAATCTCAACCGTGACCATAGGACCTGTAAAGGGTCTGAAGCGTTGATTTGTTAGAAAAAACAAATATACATGCTTTAAAACCGGAAAAATAGTTTAATTTCCTAATAAATTTCAAATCAATAGTTGGACTTTACTGATGGCCCGCACTATATCAATACGATAAGAAGAAGAATAAAATTATTATACTTATTCGTTCATTCATTCATTCGCTCATTATTAACTCATTCATTTATTCATTCTTCGCAATCACATGTGGCCTCGTATCATTGGAGTAACCAAGCAGTTCAATTGGAGAGTCAATATGAAGAAACCCAGTGTTGAGTTTACATGTGATTTTTCAATTTGTTTACGTCAATACAGTTGAATTTGCAAGCTCTCGTTTGTAGATCAACACTGATAGTTAGAAGCAATAAACAGTTACCAGATTTTGGTGTGCTGAACTGTCTTTCTATATATAAGTCCCAGGTCTTTTAATATTACTAACTTCTATGCTTTATTAGACATTAAAGAAGTGAATTGGTTCAATTTTCTACATATGACTGAAAAAAAAAATCCAATAAAATCTTGTTCGGCGAATTTTTAATTGAATCAATCACAACAATTTTCAATTAATTCCCTACAATTCTTGTTGCAATTATTGTGCTTCTTGCTGCAATCATTTTGTAGACTCAAGAATGGAAACAAGTTACATTATCACTTCAAAAACAATTTCTTATTTGTTTCAATCTCTTGTATGATGGGTTATAGTTTTTTTTTTTCAACCAGATATGATACTATGGCATAAAGACTATACCGTGAGTCCTCTGTACAATACAGGAACAATGGTGGTGCAGGGGCACGAACTCTGCAATACTGTTTAAATAATAGATACATTTTATTCAACGGAAGCTTCTGGTTTGATTTATATCCGTTTTTGTTTATGACATTTGTTGTATAGATACGCAGCTCTGTATATTCTGCGAATTTCAAGTTATGCTTTTTATGTTATTTAAGAGGAATGAGAGAGAATTTACTTGGTTATTTTTGGAGGTTCGTACGTTGACTAGGGCAGTCGCCCTACTTATCGACACGGAGTCACATAAAGTCGATAAAAAAAGTTTTTATGTCTATGTAATTAGAGCGAAAATGACGTTAAAAGCTTCTTTTTTCTTATTATGCCAAGTGACGGGTTGGACAAGGTAAAAGCTTCAAATCACAAAGATCTGAGATCTGACAAGTTGACAACCTTGACAAGTCCTTTGTGCCTGTAATTTCACCAACATCCTTACCCTTCAAAACTAAAAGGCAGTAATGCTTACATTACTGTTTAGCGGCCGACACTCATGGCCTCCCTAGCGCGGGGCCATGAGTGTCTGTTACGCGGGTGCTATGGACACACACATTCAACTGCCTCTCTAGCCAACGGTTACACCGTGCTGGTCTGCCACGCACAGGTCCTGGGTTTGAATCCCGGGCTTAAAGAAATGTTTGTATGGCCTACATTTATTTCTCTCGCGAGTTTGGGTATAATTTGCGGTTGTCTTCTTTTTGTATTTTTTTATTATTATTACTCTACTATAGTCCATTTATTATTTAAGTAAATCGCTTCATTTAAAAAATATAGTAATTAAAAAATTAATGTCTAAATCTTAATGCGACGGAATCCAGTTATAATGTGTATTTCAATTTGTTAGATTGTTCTATATTTTAAGTCGCTTCGTTCTGGCATCGAATTAGATTTTATGTAACGTAACAAAATGAATTGTAATCCGACAAACTTTGTCATTGGCTATGTAAGTAGATTATTCAAAATTGTAAACCAAATTTAAAAGCTGTAAAGTTTGCAAATACATAAATAAATAAAATAAAAATTACCTTATGTAACACGTCACGCATCCTAGACCCACACGATGTCTTAACGTTTAAAAAAATATATAATGTGGTGTATAAATATATGGTGTGGTGTAGCTCTAGGACGATACAGTAGTAGGACTGTTAAGAATGTCGTGTGTCTTCAGGACACGTAATGGATTAAAATAAAAACAAAAACAGAAATATTCTTCAATAAAATTAGCATACCTAGATATAATAAAAAAATGTATTAAGCGAGGCGTGGCTTGCCGTACCTAAGTACAAATTATAACTTCGTTCTTAAATTCTCGCCTTATTAATTAAATTTTCGTATTCTAGACTTCAAATTCCAAAAAACTCGACGTACGAATGAACCTTGATTTTAAAAATAACACCTCATACCGGATATCCGGTTAACTGCGTTAGTTTGAAATTCAAATGAATCAGAAAGTGACTCATGGTTAATTTTCCAAGTTTTTTGTAAATCAAATTTTTTCATTAGGTTCACCTAATCCTTTCTTAAGACCTATTTCTAGCTGTGAGACGTACATGGGTTGATGATTTTAATCTATAAGGCTTTTTGTAACTAGTAGATCATCTTCTTCTTGTCGTGTCGATGGTATACCTATGATGCTTGCTATAGTGGTGACAGGATTTTACAGAACGGCACTTGGTGCTGGGAGGTTTCTTTTGTACACCCCACCAGCTCCACCCCACATGCTTCTTTCGTGCAGTATTAGATGATACAATCAAAGAAGTACTTTTAACAATATAAATTAAAATGATATCAAGCGACACACCTCCGTTAATTCGGGTTTGTAGCATCTGAACCCGGTGTCGGTTTAAAGTTGCAACGGAACCCGAGTGAGCCTAAATGCGAGTATCGTGTGATCCCGGGACTGGTTGCTTGTCAAAAATAATTAATTTTGAGTCGCATCCAGTCCCGGGTTCAAATAAAGTAGGCATTAAGAAATTTAATGCCCGAACCGTCTGAACCCGAATTCATTAATCGATAGATATTGGTACATATTTTTGGTATCATAAGGCAGTGAGCATAAACACTAGAGACACAATATCCTTTAAACAACAATCAAAAATCTCGCACCATTTTGCAAATTTAAAGACTAGCTTTGGAACTGATTAAAATTTCAAAGAAAAAGGACTGGATGCGACTCAAATTTAATTATTTTTGACAAACGTACCAGTCCCGGGATCACACGCCACTCGCATTTGGCCTCATTCGATTTATGTTGCAACTTGAAACCGACCCCGGATTCAGATGCTACAAACCCGTCAATTTGCAGCTTACATCATTGTTTTAGCAAGCAAAAGACACTAAAGGTATCACATATCACAATTCCCTGGACCAACTCTTTCATAGAGAGTTCGTACTGCCACCTTACCTATTCCTGCCGCCAAGCAGTAACGTGAGAACTGCTTACTGCGTTCCGATATATAAGGGGTAATAACACGAGACTTGACAACTCATGTCTCAGGGTGACAGGCGCAGAGGCAGTGCCCCTCATATCTTTGCAACTTAATGCTTTGTGTGGCTTTGCATCTGTCAGGGACAGACAATACAATACAATACAAAATGCTTTATTTCTCTCAAAAAGGTTTACAAAATGCAGATTTGTTACATTTCATGTTAAATATGAAGCACCTTAGTGAGAGCTGGAGTCTGTACTAGGTTGGGGACCTATGTTACAGATCACCAGGCTCACACCCTTTTGACAAGTTTACCAGAAAAGTAACACTAATAAAATTGAACAAAAATAATGAAAATTAAATTAAAGAGTAAAATAAAATTGATAGCTAATTAGAAAATAAAACAAATAGAAAAAATAGAAAAATCTCTGTGCGTGTTCGTTTGTGTGCGTGTACGTGTGTGTGTGTGTGTGTGTGTGTGTGTGTGTGTGTGTGTGTGTGTGTGTG